GCAGCGCCGCCCGCCGCGCGCAGCCCCTCGACGGCGCCGCCCGGACCCCGCTCCGCGGAGCTGCCGAGGGCTGCGGGGAGCAGCCCGTCCCGTGTGTGTGTTGGGGGGGTGCCCGTCGGGTCCGGCCCCCCGGCACAACGGAGGGGAGCCTCGGTGGGGTGCGGAGGAGCGGGCAGGGCCGCTGTGGAGCCCCCCGGGCGAGGGGCTCGCGGTGGCTCCAGCAGCCCGGGCGGGCGGCCCCGGCGCCCCGTGCACCTGCTGTGGGGCGGGAGGTGCCGGCTGCGGGCACGGCAGGCGGCGGGGCGGCCGTCCAGGGGAGAAGACAAGACATGAAATGAAATGAAATGAAATGAAATGAAATGAAATGAAATGAAATGAAATGAGTTAAAAAAATAACAAATAAAGTAAAGCAGGGCAGGGGGAGCTGGCAGCCCCAGCCGCGGCGCCCTGTCCCGCGGAAGGGGTTTTACTCAGTTCCCCGCGCGGCTGCCAGGACGCGGCCAGAGCCCGGGAGAGGCGGTGGGGTCCGCCGAGCTCCAGAGAGCGCGTTTGCTGATACAGAAATGAGTCAGGACGTGAAAAAAATGGCGAAACATGCAAAGCTGCCGGGCTCGGCTGCAGCTTGAAAGCGCGGGGCGCTGCAGCGGGGCCTCAAAGGGCCGCCCGCCGCCCATCAATGGGGCCGCCGGGCCGGGCCGGGCCGGGCTGGGCCGGGCTGGGGAGGGACGGCGCCTCCCGCCACTGGGGCCGCCGCTGCCGCCGGGGCCGCCCCGAGGTGGCGGCGCGGAGGGCGGCGCTGCCCACCTGGCACGGCACGGGGCGGCACGGCACGGGGCGGCACGGGACGGCACGGGACGAGCGCCTGGGCAGCCGGGCGGGCCCGGTGCTCCCGGCGGGGCTCCGCTTACTCCGAATTAGCGGGGCGGGAGCCGCCGTCCAGCCCGGCCCCCGGCCCCGCTCCGGCCGCTCTGCGTCCACCCGAGAAGCGGGTCTGCAGCACCAGGACAGGGGCCGGGCCCGGGGCGGCGGGGAGGGTCCGGGCGTCGTGGTCTCCGCGAAACGTCCTGCGGGGAAGGGGGGCGCTGAGCGGTGCTAAGGACCGGAGGTCTGGGGGACCAGGGATGTGTCAGCTCTGCCTTAGACTGGGCTGCTCTGCCAGGCGGACCCTGGCATCAGCAGAGAGCAACACTAGACAGATCCCCTGCCTTGTGGATTTTTTTTTCTGGTAAAGGCCAGAATGTATTTGGGGAACCACGGAAGTCAGGAGGCTGGAGAGAATGTACAGAACTATACAGAACTATGTACAGAACTATAAAAAACTATGTTGGCTCCTAACRGCACATCTGGGTGTCCACACTGCTTGGTACCCAGGCGCTCTTGATGGGGGTTGCAGATGCTATATTCCCTTCATACGGAAAAAGGATGTGAATCAGGCAAAATCCA